CGCCGAGGAGGAGGAGTCGGTGCTCATCTGCATGACCACCACCGACCTCGAGCTCTCGCGCGAGTACAAGCAACGCAACGGCAACATCAACCTCACCTCCGCCGACCCCACCGCCCGTCTCAAGGCCGTCCACACGATCGCACCCGATACATGGACCCATTGCGAGATTCACCCCGCCATGACCCTCGGCATCTGCGCCTCGATCGTCCCCTTCCCCGATCACAATCAATCGCCAAGAAATGTGTAGTGCGTAGCCTTCCCTTGACGATCAACGACCTACACGACTCTTTGATACTGATCTTTCCTTTTCTTTCCTCTCAAAGTCAATCTGCCATGGGGAAACAGGCCATCGGCACACCTATTTCCAACATCCTTGCTCGAGCAGATTCGATGGCCCACGTCCTTTATTATCCCCACAAGCCCCTGGGAACGACTCGGTCGATGGAGCATATCCGATTCCGCGAGTTGCCCGCCGGCCAAAACTCGATCGTGGCGATCATGTGTTACTCGGGTTACAACCAGGAAGACTCGGTGATCATGAACCAGTCGTCGATCGACCGCGGCTTTATGCGCTCGCTGTACTACCGCGGGTACATGGCCGAGGAGAAGAAGGTGGGAGTGATGCAGCTGGAGGAGTTCGAGAAGCCGCACCGGGACACGACGATCCGAATGAAGCACGGCACGTACGACAAGATCGACGCCGACGGACTGGTGGCGCCGGGCACGCGGGTGTCGGGCGACGATGTGATCATCGGCAAGACGGCGCCGCTTCCGCCGGACTCGGAGGAGCTGGGCATGCGATCGAAGCTGCATACGAAGAAGGACGCGAGCATCTCGCTCAAGTCGACGGAGAACGGCATTATCGACCAGGTGCTGCTGACGACCAACTCGAACGGCAACAAGTTTGTCAAGGTGCGCGTGCGCAACTCGCGTGTGCCGCAGACGGGCGACAAGTTTGCCTCGCGTCACGGCCAAAAGGGAACGGTGGGCATCATGTACCGGCAGGAGGACATGCCGTTTTCGGCGGAGGGCATCACGCCGGACATTATCATCAACCCGCACGCGATTCCGTCGCGAATGACGATCGGACATCTGGTGGAGTGTCTGCTGTCCAAGGTGGCTGCGCTTTCGGGACAGGAGGGCGATGCGACGCCTTTCACCGAGCTGACGGTGGAGGCGGTGTCGTCGATCCTGCGCGGACTTGGGTACCAGTCGCGTGGACTCGAGGTCATGTACCACGGGCACACGGGACGCAAGATGCAGGCGCAGGTGTATCTGGGACCGACGTACTACCAGCGACTGAAGCACATGGTGGACGACAAGATCCACTCGCGTGCGCGAGGACCGGTGCAGATCCTGACGCGCCAGCCCGTCGAGGGACGATCGCGCGGCGGAGGATTGCGATTCGGCGAGATGGAGCGCGACTGCATGATCGCGCACGGCATCGCTGGCTTCCTCAAGGAGCGCATGTTTGACGTGTCGGATCCGTACCGGATCCACGTGTGCGATCTGTGCGGCCTGACGGCGCTGGCGAACCTCAAGAAGGGGACGTACGAGTGCCGATCGTGCCGCAACCGCACGGCCATCTCGCAGATCCACATCCCGTATGCGGCCAAACTGCTCATGCAGGAGCTGCAGAGTGTCAATGTGGCGCTGCGTCTGTACTAAAAGCAACCCGAAAAGCAATCCGATGTGTCACGCTTGTCAAACTCTTTTCAAAATGGCACGGCCGTCGTCATGGCGAGGGCGAGTTGCTTTGCGGGATTTGAGGATTGGATGCGGCAGTGAGAAGCTCGCGACAAAAAGGGGATGACGATGGGATTTGGCGTGCTTGAACAATTGCAGCCGGAAGGGAAAAAAGGACTCGCCAAAAAGGCGAGAGAAAAGAGGCATAAAATGTATTTAAAAAAGGACGACTTTGTTAGAGTGTCTCGAATGCGGATGGCAAGGGTTCGGGAGCGCATAGTGTTTGGCCGAGCGCGAGGGCGTTGTGGTGGAAGCGAGGGCGGCGAAAGGGGATGGCATGTGCCTCGGCTAGACGAGTCGAATGCATTGGACAAGTGTTGCACCCTGTGAGCGTTGCAGCGCAGACTGGTTGGGTTGGAAGGGGAATTGTTTTTGTGGGACGTTCTGCGTAGAAGCGCGCATGGCCGAGCGCAGTTTGGGATGCTGCATGATCGATGCCGATGTCCAAAGTCGCAGCTAAGGATGCAAAAGCCGCGTTGGGGTCATGCTTTGGACCTCCGCTCACCACTTGGACCCGGAGTAGCATCGTGACCGAGTCTTCGGTGTCCGAGGAGACTGTGTGGCATTCGGGAATGTCAAGCCGAAGAGAAAGAGAGAAAGAACGCGAGACACGACGCGTTGGGATGAGAGGGTCGTCTTGACTCCGACACTCACAACTAGCGGAGATGGATTCGAGCGGTGGTGCCTGCATGCCTTGAGCTGGCATCCGGTTGGACGCGGTGAGGATGCGCGTCGACGTCAATGTCTCTTGTCACCGAGGCCAAGGGTCCGTAACCGAGCCCCATAAGCGTGACATCTCGCTTGAGTTCACGTCCAGGTCAACATGGCGCAAGCAGGTGAGGCGGTCACAAGCGATGTACACAAGACGAGACAGGGGGAGGAGCATAGCTCGAGCTTAGGTACGTGCCTGCTCGCGATCGAGCTTGGCCGAGCGAACCGAGACATTGTTCAGCTGCCAAGAAACGGGCAACAATGCCAGTCCACCAACCATGCCAGACAATCCAGCACCACACGACAAAAGGACGACGAGCGACCAGACGAAGCCGACTCCGACCCTTGGCTCTGGGCTTTTTGTTTCGCGAGTTGTTTTGTCGAGACGCGTCGCGCGTCCCTCCCAACACCCCCAACACTTTCTTTTCTCGCTTTTTTTTTTTTTCTTCTTCGAGCTCCGTTCCGGCTCGTCACGGCAGCCAAGGGAGCAGCTGATGCAGACAAACGAGGCATGAATTTCGCCCGTTTGGTTTTTGGGATGCAAAATCATTGCCAGCATGCAACCGCGTCGCAAATGCTTGACAACCGTGCATGCCATTCGTCGCATCCCAGCCTGAGATCCCGACGCGCTTTTTTGCAAGAGCCAACGATGCGATGCCAACGTGACGCCGTGGATGCAGCAGCTGCATGGCTCGCCTCTCGCCCGGGGATGCCCGCCCGCTCGCGTTGGGTTGGTGCATCGGCAGTACACCGCGATCGCCGCTTGCGAATCCAATTCAACCGGCTCGCGTTCGGACATGCTGGCATCGGGTGATTTCAGGCTGCAGGGCACACAACACCACCACAATGCATGCTTGCTTGCATGCTTCCGAACCGCAGCACATTCAATGCCCTGCAGCTGGGCTCAGCAGTGGTGCATATTTTGGCCATTCTTACCAGCCAGCCATGCTTCGTGGCGTGACTCCCGAAAGAAAGGATGAAAACTTTTTTCTTTTTCTTTTTCAAGCGAGATCAACTTCGGCAGACCCAGGGTGGGAGCAAATTCATCTCGAGCGAAAAACACACGGCAACCGATCGTGTGCAAAGCAAAGATAGGCTTTGGACACCGAAATGAAGCCGCGCTCGGTCATGCAAAACTGCACCGGAAGTGCACCCGCCCAGTCCAATGAATGGTGGGGGATGAGCTTCATCGCCTGTTGTCAAGAATCGCATTTTCCTTTTTTTTTTCTTTTCTTTTCTTTTTTAAATTGGATTTGGATTTTGCGGCTTGGCGGGCTGGCAATTCGTGTTGGATTCATTCATGTGGAAGGCCAAGGCGGTGCGGCGGTGAGCAGTGCTGAGCAGCGCTGAGCAATGCAGAAGAGTGACAGCTGGCTGCCGTCCCCCCTTCAATCGCCTTTGCCTTACGTCGATGGCCGCTGGTCTCGCTCAACGCCATCACTTCCGACGCTCGACCCTCTCTCACCCTCTCTGGGCCAAACATCCCGACACGTTACACCGACGCGCGTCCGTCCCTTCGTGTCGACCCCTTGGAGCCGCTCCACCACCATCATCTCTGCCTCGTCCTCGAACCATTCGATTCCGTCCACCCTCACTCACGACAACGACACGCATACTCCCCTACAGCCTCAGACGCTCGACCGGCACACCAGCCCCTCTACCAGACCGCGTCGACAACATCAGCGCTCGCAGGTTTTTCGCTCGCTCGACTCGCTGCTCACGCTCGGACCCCCTCTCGAAGCTCTACATTCGGTCACATCGGCTCCCGAGTAATCACACTCCCGCTCGCATCACCGCGCCGTCACCGACTAGCACTGCATCCGCTCTACGGCTCGTCACCCGCTCCATCGCACGTGATGCTCTGATGCCTCGCGCCCATCCGCTCTAGCTCGTCTGCGCATACATCATGGCTGCCTCCCGCCCCGACGTGGCTCTCACCCAATCCACAATGTCGCTCGCACATCCACAATCACCAGCGCAGCCCTCGCCCGACTCGCCATCCCTCCACACAGACTCGATCTCGCGCTCCTCCTCGCCCATCATGTCGCCGCCACCCTCGCACGAGCACGACTCTACCATGCTCACCACCTTCGACTCGTCCATCACCCCACCAGACTCGGCCCGCTCGCCCGCAGATCGGCACGACAAGCTCGCAGCTTCGGCACCGGCCCAGCCATCTTGCTCGTCAGCACCCCTCTCGCGCGTCGCTTCCGCTGGTTTCCCGCCAGCCTCCACCAAGCCACCCGCCATCGGCAACGAGTCCAGCGCACTGCGAGCCACAGAGCACGGCGTCAGCCCCGTCATCAACGCCCTTCGCTCGCCCTATCCAGCCAGCCCGAGCTACTTTGTCACCGCCATCCCACCAGAAGACTTTCCCACCTCCTCGGAATCCACCAACGCAGAGCGCAACCGCCTCCAACGCGGCTCCCTTCTGCCTCTCTATCCCACCCTCGGCGGTCAGCTATGGGCCATCTCGCGCGAATTTGCCCTTCCCTCCGTCGGCGGTCTCCTCCTCTTCCTCGCCGACGACGGCCAGGGCAACCGCGGCCCCAGGATCGGCGATGCTGCCTGGCAGGCTCTCTGGTCTCGCTACTTTGCCGACGACGACCTCTCCTCCACATCCGCCGCCCACAAGCCTCCACCCAACTTTGCCCACAGCCGACGCTCCTCCGACGCCGCCGCCGACTCGTTTGCCCACCCTTCGTCGTCGTCCAGCGCACACGCCGCCGACCTCTCACGCTCCACCGTCGGCGAGGCCTCGTCCAGTCGTCCCACCATCCCCTACTATCGTCCCTCGCCCCGCGTAGACGCTCTTGGCTTTGGCCGCCGCGACGCACACACCGACTGGAGCCCATCCGTACGCAGCGCCGCCGCTTTCTCCGCCGGCCACCATCAGGCCAACCCACCACCACCACCACCCTTCCCAAGCCTTCCCATCGTCGCACGCATCGAGTGGCAGGTCGACACCGCAAAGGCGCCCTGGTGGCCAAGCTGGATCGCTTCCCGCGCAAACCCTCGCGAGAGGCCCTCCCATCCAACGCGCAAGAGCATGCACCTCGCACACAGCCTCTCGCAGTCGCAGGACGACGAGCCACAACACGAGTCGGATCGAGCTTTTGCCCAAGATCTGGCCCCAACATTCGAAGCCGAGATCGAGCAGCCTGTGCAGCCCAAAGTTCAGCAGCGCTCGCCCTCCACTGCATCAAATCACCAAGCCGAATCCGTTCGAGAAGCGATAGCGCAAAGGGAGGCGGCCTCCGATGCTGGCGTCAAAGCTGCGCCTCTCGAAGAAGCAGCACTCCACGACGACGGGCTGCAGCTTTTCCAGCAGCGCTTCTCCCAATCGTCCACCACCGCGCCTCTGCTAGACGAGGAGCCGCAATCCGAGTCTCAGCAAACGCAGCAGGCGCAAGACGCACCGCTGCCCACTCTGCCCACCAGGTCCGCCTCGCCGTCGGACGAGCCTGTCCAATCACAACGCGCCAGCATCGTCTCAATGAGCTCGGCCGCATCCGCATCACGCCCTGCTCTCTCCGTCTCACGCGCATCCATTCAGTCTAGACCAGTACTGCCCGCGCCTACTACTTCGTCATCGTCTTCGCACGAGGTGCAACAAGCATCTTCCCAGCACCAGCTCACACGCGATGCGCTTATGCCCAGCCACCGCTCCAACTCTGGCCAGAGTCGAACCGGCTACTCCGAGATCCTGGATGCAGCCGACGACGCCGAGACAGAGCACGACATCAGCTTCGGCAACGAGCCCCTCGCGCACGCCGGCGATTACTCGGCGCTCCCAGACTCGCCTTCCTCCGCTGCTCACGAGATCACTGCCTCGCAGCGCGGATCTACCTACGAACCAAAGGGTTTCGCGCTCCGCCACAGCTTCATCGTCGATGCCGGCGACGAGGCCATGTGGCAACATCTGCAGCATCACGACATCGATCCCATCCTCCCCGAGCCGGGCGAAACGAGCAACGCCGCGCCGTCCTTCGAGCACCAGCAGATTCCCGCAGCTTTCGACGACAACCCCCGCGATTTCGACACGCTCCACGCATCAGCCCTCGAGGCTGCCATGGCCCTGCCGCCGCAGCAGCCGATGCAGCAAGTGCCGACGCAGCACTACGCCAGCGACGCCGCCAACGATGTCTACTACAGCCCTCGACGCGACAACATGGCCCGCATCCAGAGCTGGATCGGCAAGACGCCAACCGGCCGCCCCAACTCTTCCGGCGCGTTCGACGACGACTTTGCCAACGACTTCGGCCACGGCGAGATGCAGCTGCCGCCAGAGTCGGACATCGACGAGGTCGTTGGTCTCTGGGCCAGCAAAATCCGCCAAGATCCGTATGCGGTGCCGCACATCACCGGGCCGTCGCCCTCGGTGCACGCGGATGACGATGCTGCCCAGGCCGTCGTTCGCTCAAGCGACGAGCCACACTTCCACATCCCATCGGCCGAGGCACACGAATCAGACGCCAGTCTCGAGGCAGCGCCGCCAGCCATCTCGCTGCTCAGCCCCATCCACCTCGACGCGGCGGCATTCGGAGGCGTCAAGCCTCAGCTGGGTGGCCTCACCGCATCGCTCTCGCCGCAGCTTTTGAGTCCCACGGCAGTCGGAGACGCCTTCAACACACCGCGCGCTCCACCTTCGCCGCGCTCCGTCTCGACGCCCATATTCCAGCACCACCCGCCCTCGTCGCCCGGCTCGCTGGCGCTGCCTCAAGACCGCCGCCCCAGCAGCGTCAGCCGTCGTAGCTCGGGCGATCTGAGCGACAGCCTCGAAGACATGCAGAAGGCGCTCGAGCTCCTCAGCCCCGGATGCTCGCCGAATCCTGGCGGCGGCAACAGCCCCGATCCCGCCGGTCGCAAGATGTCGAGCAGAGACAGCCTCGCGTACGCCCGCAGCCTCTCGGCCTCGGTCACGCCGAGCCCCAAGTGGATCGCGCGCGCCAAGGCTGCCACTGCCAAGAGCCGCAGCAACGCCAGAAGCCCCTTCGACCGCGCCCCGGTCTCGCCGCGTCCCGCCAGCACCTCGGCCGTGTCCGCGTCGCGATTCCAGTCGCCGCGCATCGGCATGCACGCGCCGCTCAGCGCATCCCGCTTGGTCGAGTTCAGCAAGGCAGACGCCGTGCCCCGCCTCGCAAGGACCGAGGTGGCTGATACAGAGTCGATGCGCTCCCGCGACAGCGTTCCAGAGGCGGCTGCCGGGGCCACGTCCGCTGGCGCCGAAGACACGCCCACAGTGACCGAGGACGCGCCCGAAAGCAAGCCCGTGGCCGCGCTCAGCTTGGACGCCGATGCAGCGCAGGAGCACGCAGATGCAGCGCAAGAGCACGCCGATGCAGCACAGGAGCACACCGAGTCGATCCAGGCCGGCACGCCCAAGGCTAGCCACCAAGCTCTCGAGGACGTCGAGTCCTCAGCCGCGGAAGAAGCAGCAGAAGCAGCGGCAGCAGCACCAGTCTCGGCCGTCGTGGCTGAACGAGCCATCGATGCGCCTGAAGCGGGGTCAGTTGCAGCACCCGACCATGACGGAGACGACACCACCGAGCTGTCAGCTTTCCTCGGGGACGACCACGATGACGGCATCGCCTCGATCCAACGCTTCCTGCGCGGCAAGGTCGTGTCAGCGGCGGAGTCCGACGCGTCCATTACTCAGGATCTTACCGTATCTGGCGTGGAGCAGCCGCAGACGTCCAGCGCAGACGGCACCATCATCGAACGAACGGTCAGCATCGACAGCGACATGGACTCGGTGCCGCAGCCGTCTGCGCCTTCGGAGCATGCGGACGCCGCGGACGCCGCCGACGTGATCGACAAGGAGCACGAGCATGACGAACATGCCGAGATTCAGGCGACGCAGGACGACGCCATCTCGAATGAGCGCTGGAGCCAGGTCTCGTACGCCACGGGCAAGCACACTTCGCAGATCCCGTCGCGCGTCTCGTTGCCCTCGGCCAGCTCGAGGCGTGACGAGCACCCCGAGGCGCGCACGCCCAACTTTACGTACGACGCGCTTCTGAGCTCCGAGCCCACCACGGCGGACACGCTGCTGAGCAGCACCAGCCGAGGTGACGAGCGTCTGTCGGCCGCCAGCGATGTGGTCAAGGCGTACCTGTCCAGCTCGCCATCGGACGAGGCGTTTTTCAAGTCGCCTGGCCCGTCGAAGCTTGAATCGGCGGATGCATCTGGACTTGGCCAAGGGGCAGCCTCTGCGCTTCCTCAGCCGATGTGGCAGCAGGACTCCGCAGCTAGCGACGCCGCCTGGCCGCACATCGACCAGGTGCCCGAGGTGAAGGACGAGACGAGCCAGGGAGGTGTTGTGCCGGTGCTTGCGTACCGCCTGGCGTCGTCGCCGGTGCACGCCAGTCCGTTTGGGATGAGCCGGCCGCTGGCTGGCACGCACGACTACAGTCTGGACGAGGAGGAGATCCGGACGATGAACGAGGACACGCGTGCGGCGGTGCGCGAGGCGCTGTCGCAGTCGACGTCGCACCATGTCAACCTGCCAGCGTCTGTTTCTGCGCCGCTGTCGCCCAAGAGCTCGACGTCGCCGACGCTGTCGAGCCACTCGTCGCTGGGCGACCAGTTCCGGCGACGCGGATCGACGTCGAGCCTCAACCTCACGTCGGCAGGGGCGGGCAGTGGCAGCAACACGTCGTCGCCCAATCTGGGTGGCACGACCAAGCGGCGTCCGGCGCGGCTGAATCTGGACATTGACGGGCTGGCGAGGTCTCCGCCCGCCGCGGCTTCGCGCAGGTTGCCGTCGACGTCGCCGCGCTCGCGCTTTGGCCAGCTGCCGCCCTCGCCGTCGCTGCATCCGAGCTACAAGGCGGCGACGTCGAGCCCGCTCTCGACGTCGTTCCCCATCATGGGCGCGCATCTGGGCAGCCCGCAGGGAAAGCACTTTCTCCCCTCGTTGCCCAGCGTCACCTCGATCGAGGCCGAGCTGGCCGGCTGAACCTACGCGCCCCGGATAGCGTCGCATCATGTAGCCAAAGTAGCGCTTGTAATGAGGCGAACGGTGAAGAGATAGAGTTTGAGCTTAAGCTTGCGAGTTTGAGCGTGGGTGGGGTGTGTTGCGGGAGTTTGCTGCAAAGCACGTACGTTGAGCTAGAATCGGATTGTGGTTGGAGCACTTTGGCTGACGATGGGTGGGTTGATGCGACCCAAAACGGAACGATTGGGCGGCTGTGACGCTGCGCTGGTAGGTGTGAGGCTGGCCACACACGACGGAGTAGCGACGGTGGGAATGCCGACAGCGACGACTGCACTCTTCGGCAAGATCGAACCTTGATAGCAACGAGTCCTGTCTGACAGGCACTGGACCAACGAACACAAGCCCCAAGCAGCTGTCAAAAGGTGGGCAACCACTGTCTACCGCATCTTTCGCAGTCAGACATTGGCGATCGCAAGCAGAATCAGCCTCCTCCGCACTGTAACGGCCGATCGCAACTCGTTCCCGCGCCTCACTGTCGTGAGCCTCACCAGACTTAGAGTACGCTTCAAACTGTGTTGATCGAGACGCAAGATTCATCTGCACCATCGCTGTCTGCATCCTCGTCTCTCGTCATCGTTCTCCATCGCCGTGTCGTTTTTGTAAGATCAATTTGACTCCTCTCGCTCATTCTCTGTTTTCGTGCGGGGCATGAGTGAGGATATTCAATTGCTTGTGCGGGTGTCAAAGTTAAGGTGGCGCAAGGTCGGCTTTCGCCAGCTATCTCCGCGAATGGCAAGCGTCTGTCAGCTACTCTCAGCGCTCAGGTTGTTGTAGCGCGCGTGAGCTTGTAGTGTCCCGCAACTTACGGCGCCCCATGCCCCCAGGTCGCCGAGCGCGTGGAGTCCAGCCGTGGTTGCCGGGTCGATATATTGGAGAGCCGATTTTTTGAAATATGTTAAGTTGGAGTCGTGGACCTCCACCCCTCAAATGCCTGGCGGAGCGACTCGAGGTCTTGGCACGCACACCACCATCTCGAAGCTGCGGACGCTGCGGATCACTCGGAACTCAGGCACATAGAACCCGCTTGGGCGTTGGCGCAATCATGTCGCTGCTTCGACCGTTCCGGGCGACGGATCTGTTCAAGTTCAACAATGTCAACCTGGACCACTGGACGGAAACGTACACACTGTCGTTCTACCTCTCGTACCTTGCGCAGTGGCCCGACCTGTCGTTCCTTCAGACCGCGCCCTCTTCGGGACGGACGATGGGGTATGTTATTGGCAAAGCCGAGGGTCGCGAGTCCACCTCTTGGCGCGAAGCTCCTACACTGCACGGCCACGTGACGGCCATAACGGTCGCACCCGAGTACCGTCGATTGGGACTGGCCAACGGCATGATGCATCTGCTCGAAGACGTCTCGAACCGCGTCTACAATGCGTACTTTGTGGATCTCTTCGTAAGACCCAGCAACACCACTGCCGTCACAATGTACGAAGGACTAGGGTATGGCGTGTATAGAACAGTCAAGGACTACTACTACAAAGGCGGCAAGGACGGTGGAGACGAAGACGGCTTCGACATGCGAAAAGCCCTGCCGAGAGATAAGGACAAGAGAACCGTAAGGAGCAATGGCAGGAACTTTACCGTACAACCAGAGTAAGTCACAAACTCCCCCTTGTCACCATCACTGTTTACTGACTCTTCGTTATCGTTGCGCACACAGAAACACGATCTTCGAACCAGCCTATCGACCTTAATACAGTGACATTCCCGCGCTTATGACGATGGCGTTTGAAACGGTCGATCAATGCGAAGCGCACGCGTGACGCGCAGAGGCATACAGTACGTCGGATCGACCTGTTGCAACCCCTCGAATCCCAACAGCGAAAGTCCTGCTCCGACAAAGACCCAGTCAGCGTTTTGATCCCGAGTCCTTCGCGTGCACTGCCAACTTACCTGCACATCCAAACACGGTGTGGAAGACGTCGGTGACGTTGTCCGGTCGATCGGCAATGCCGCCCTCGTCCGGATCCTGTGCCCACACGCCCCAGGGTGATGTTGGGTCAATTCTGCGCCACTGTGGAGGATGGGTTGGTGGGGACATACCTGTGCCGAGAGGATAAAGTTCTTGAGCTTATCCGCGTTGATCCAGTGCAGCCTGCGGATGACGCTGAGGGTGGACAGCACCCACCAGCTGTAGCAGACGTCCTCGAGCTTCTGCGGTCGCCCGTTGAGGCCGCCATTGGGCAGCTGTCTCTCGGCGAGCCATGCGCCCACGCGGTCGCAGTCGATCTCTTCCAGAGCCTCCAGGATCGATAGCGCGCCCACGCTCACCCACGCTGCCCAGTTCAAGGAGGAAGAGTCAGCATGCGGTCTCGAGATTGGCAAGATTGGACAAGAGCGTACCTTGTGCGGCGTGGCTTTCTGCGCCTGGGTCGGTGCCGAAGCCTCCGTCGGGATTGTGGCATGCGAGGATGTAGCGCACGGTGCGATCGCGGTCGAGCTGGTCGAGTGCGCCCAGATGCGCAAGCGCCGATACCGCGCAGTACAGGAAGCGCGTATCAATCTCGCCCCACTTGTCGCCCTGAATCGCACCACTTGGCAGCTGAAGCCCCAATAGAACTGCACCGCCGGAGATCAAGGCCGGTTGATCAGCGACTCTGCTTCTCGCGTTCCGGCTGATGTGGAGAGCTGCTTACACTGTACGAGTCTGTCACGGACGCCTCTGGTATCGAGTTCGTCTAGCGCGTCCTTCATGGCGAGGATCTGGATGGCGGAAAGCGTGCTGTGCACGTGCGCATCGTGGCCCGGAAACGAGCCAAAGCCAGCGGTGTCGTCGTTCCAACAGCTAAACACAAAGTCGATGAGCGCCTGGCGGTCGAGCACCTCGGGTCTGCCCAGGATCTCGAGCGCTGCGAGGCCCCAGTAGACGCCGTTCATGCGCAGGTGCGTCGTAAAGTGGTAGGCGAGCGAGTCGCGCTTCTTGTCGAGCGCCTCGACGAACGCGACGTGCAGCGGGATGAGCAGCTCGCCCGGTGGTGCGCGCGGTGTTGCGGCTGCTGAGGATGTCGACATTGTGCATCAACGCCCCCGTGTGCTGTTGAGCTAGGGTGAAGATCGTGATGTGCGAAAGGGAGGAGGAAGGTCGTTGAGATGCCGGCCTGACCAACACCTCAAAAAGGCCGATCGCCCGATCGAGACGCGCCTCCACTTTTGGCCGTCTTCGCGCCGACTCAGCCAAAAGTGTTACTTTTGGGTCCATTCCACAGGGACCCTTCCTTGTCATCTGTCACCCACCTCATCGACCGCTGCCTCAACAACCGCGGCGGCTCAGACCAGCTCAGCTCGTCCCACTGACAGCGTCTTCAATGCTGCATCTTCGCCTCTTCACCACCACAGTCACTCGCGGCTGATCCGCTTCTGCAGCCACACGCTCACGCCACGAGACATCATGGCGCCGCCTTCGCAAAAGCCAGCTGGGGCGCAGGCCACCATCAGCGCCTTCTTCAAGCCCAAACCCAGCTCCAGCTCCAGCTCCAACGGCGCTAGCTCATCTGCCGCCCGCCCTCCATCAGAGCCTCCATTCAAGAAGCCACGCCTGGCTGTGTCCGAGGCACCTCGCCGCGAGACCTTGGCTCGCATGGACAGATGGCGCTTCGAAAAGGACACCTCCACCACCACCACCACCACCACCACCACCACCACCGAACCGGACCCGACAGTGAAGCCGGAATCGTCACAAGCAAACAGTGACCGCTCGTCCGAGGCAGACGCCCGCCATAGAGCCTTTCGCAAAAAGCTTCTCGGCCCCGACTTTGCCGTCGACCGCCATGCCCGCAACCAGATGCAGATCGAACGCATGTCCGCCGCAGACACCCCAACGTCAGAGGATGCGCTCGATGCGCCTGGATCGGCGGACAACGCGATCGTTCTGGAAGACGATGATGTTGACGACACCACAGAAGCGGCAGATCCTCCCTCGAATCGTTTTGACCGTTTTGCGGCTGTCGAAGGGTCATCATCCACCGCCAACAAACCATCCAGCTCGCGTGCAAAAGGCAAAGGCTCGGCAAGCCTCGACCCATCTGGACCCACATACACCCCACTCGAGAAGCAGATCCTCGAACTCAAGGCTGCGCATCCCGGCGTGCTACTCGTCATCGAAGTCGGCTACAAGCTCAAGTTCTACGGAGAGGACGCGCGCATCGCCAGCAAGGAGCTCAACATCATGTGCTTTCCCGAGCGCAATCTCCTCACCGCTATGATCCCCGTGCACAGACTCCACATCCACGTCAAGCGCCTCATCCAGGCTGGTCACAAGGTCGGCGTCGTCCGCCAGATCGAGACACGCGCTCTCAAAGCGGCGTCCAAGAACGCCTACACCCCCTTTGTGCGCAAACTCACCGCGCTCTACACGGCGAGCACTTGGATCGACGACCTCGCCAGCTCCGACGACGTCAACTTTGCCACAGGGGCCGCGCACACCTACCAACCCAAATCGCTCATGGCGCTCGTCGAGCAGTCCGAGGGCGGCAACGGCCCCGAAGACCGCGTCGCCATCGGCCTCATCAGCGTCGAGGTCAACACTGGCTATCTCACTTACGACCAGTTTTCCGACTCGCATGCCCGCACCGAGCTCGAGACGCGCATCGCTCACCTCGCGCCTGCCGAGCTGCTCGTACCGCAGGAGCTTACACGGCCAACCGAAAAGGTCATCGGATACCTCCTCGGCAGTGGCGCAGAGGGCGGCGTGAGGATCGAGCGTGTCGCGTCCAAGCTCGACTACAACCAGGCCTTTCAGTCGGTCACACAGTTCTACCGCGATCGCGCTTCTGGCGACAGTGACGGCACCGACGTCGAGATGGATGTAGACGCACAGAACAAGCGCCCTGCCGAGCTCATGTCTCTGATACAAAGCCTCCCACACCTCGCGCTCATCGCGCTCGCCCAGATCATCCATCACCTCCAGGCGTTCAACCTCGAAAGCATCTGCACGCTCTCGACCAACTTCCAGTCGTTTTCGTCGCGTACCACGATGCTCTTGAACAGCAACACGCTCGCCAATCTCGAGATCTTCCGCACCGTCGATGGCCACGAGAAGGGCAGCCTCATCTGGCTGCTCGACAAGTGTCGCACCAGCATGGGTCGTCGCCTGCTGCGCAAGTGGGTCTCGCGCCCGCTCACCGACGTCGACGCACTCGAGAGGCGTCTGGACGCCATCGAGGCCATCATCTCGGCCAAGAGCTACGTGGTGCGCATGCTGCCCAACTTTCTCCAGGGACTGCCAGACCTCGAGCGTGGACTTGCGCGCATGACGTATGGGCGTGCCACTCCCACCGAGCTCGCCACCGTGCTGCTCTCGCTCAACCGCGTCACGCAGGAGGTGCGCCCCGCCGAGCGCGACACGTGGAAGCTCGACTCGAGCCTGGTGGAGGAGCATCTGCTCAACCTCGCTGCAGGCAAGACGGCGGTGCAGACGTACCTCAACCAGATCTCGATCAAGGAGGCGCGCGCGAACAACAAGGCGGATCTGTTTGCGGATGCCGAGCGGTATCCGGCGATCCAGACGGCCAAGGACAACATTGCGATCGTCGAGACCGAGCTGCGCGAGCACCTGCGCGAGCTGCGCAAGACACTGCACCGGCCGAGCCTCGAGTATGCCAGCGTGTCGGGCGTCGAGTATCTGGTCGAGGTGCGCGTGGCCGACGCGAAAAAGGTGCCGGCCGACTGGCTGCGTGTGAGTGCGACCAAGGCGATGGTGCGCTTCCACACGCCCGAGGTGATCCGGCTCACGCGGCTGCGCGACCAGCACAAGGAGACGCTCGCCGCGGCAGCCGAGAGTGCGTTCAGCGACTTTGTGCGAGCCTTGTGTACGACCGAGTACGTGGTGCTGCGCAATGTGGTGACGAGCCTGGCGGTTCTGGATGTGCTCGTGTCGCTGGCAGAGCTTGCGGCGAGCAGTGGATACACGCGGCCGCGGTTCGAGCGGTCTTCGCCGCGCGATGGCGAGTCAGGCGTGCGTGTCGAGGTCAAGGCGATGCGTCATGCTATCCTCGAGGTGGTATCTCCGCTGCCGTATATTCCCAACGATCTGGTGCTGTCGGACGACACGTCGCGCGCGGTGCTGCTGACCGGTTGCAACATGGGCGGCAAGAGCTCGGTGGTTCGGACGCTGGGGTTGCTTGTGGTGCTTGCGCAGATTGGATCGTATGTCCCAGCGGCGGAGGCCAAGCTGGGTGTGCATGACGGCGTGTTTGTGCGCATGGGCGCGCGCGATGCCATGTTTGCCGGTCGCAGCACGTTTATGGTCGAAGTGGCCGAGACCGCCGAGATTTTGCGCGCCGTGACGCCTCGTAGTCTGGTGATCCTCGACGAGCTCGGACGCGGGACGAGCACGCATGATGGGGTGTGCATTGCATGGGGCGTGCTCGAGTATCTGCTGCAGCTCAAGAGCATGCCCAATGTGGTGTTCATCACGCACTACCTCCAGCTGGCCGAGCTGGTACGGCGGTATGGCGCGAGGAACATGCACATGGCGTATGTGCAGCGCGACGGCATCCAGTTCCTGTACACGCTCAAGCAGGGCGCCACAGCGTCGTTTGGCATCCACTGCGCCAAGTTGGCCCAGCTGCCGAGCGAGATCACGCACACGGCCGAGGCGGTGGCGCAGCGCATGCAGGCGGACCACGAGACGAGAGTGCAGGTGGCCGCGGCCAAGAAGGTGCTCAAGAGCGTGTTTGCGGGCGAGCTTGGCGTGGAGGCGGTGAAGGCGGTGCGCGATGCGGTCGCGCGCAGGCAGCCGTACGATGCGTAGCGAGTACTCGCCATCACAACTGCACACACGCCACGCAGAATCAACCTGCCTGCCAGGACGCCGAATCGCGATGCATGCCACTTGCTGTCCAGCATCTCACTCGATCCCGTCAAAACCATCTGCCATCGTCGACCCACCCGATGCAGATCCTTTCCAGCACCACACCGCTCTGCACTTGGCGCAATCACATCCCCTGCTTTTGAATCCAGCATCCCATCACTGAGCCCCAACACACTTCAGGCATCAACACCACACACGACTTTGAGAAAGCAGCACAAGACAGCATTGAGCAACGACAGAGCGACTAGAATACAGACTCGAATCAAAAGTACAATCGAACGGCGCGGATCTAAACATCGCACTCCATCTGGCGCTCGGCCATGGGACGCTGCCTTGGCTCGGGCATGTCGTTGAGCAGCTGGCTGAGCGTGGGCAGCGTGGGCCTGCCAGGCGGGGTGGGGGTCGAGTTGCGGTCGCTGTCGACATCGCGCACATGCTCCGCCTCAGCCGAGGGCGTGGTCTCGCCATCCTCGGTCTTGCTGCGCGCAGCCGAGGTGAGGATGGGTGGCAGACGCACACGCTGTTGCGACTGGAGCTTGGCGCGCGCCTGGTCGGGGAAGTTGATGGCAATGAGCAGGTCGCGAATCAATCGCACGTGCTCGCGCGCCATGGCCTCGCGCGCCTCGCCATCCACCGACGGCGAACGCGCCAGCGGCCGACCCAGACCCTCCATCTGCGACACGCGCTCGGTGAGGCTCGGGTAGAGCGACGATGACGACGACGACGAGGACGCCGACGGCGATGGCGACGAGGCGGGTGCAGAGTGGCGCGTGCCCGCCGATTCCATGGCCGCACTCTGGCGTCGCATCGAGGGCAGGCGTGCGTCCGAGTCGAGCAGCGAGCTGATCGACGCAGACGTGCTGGCGGTCGAGTTGGAGCGCAGCGGTGGCAGACGGCGCGATGCCTCCGAGGGCGACACGCGGGGATAGAGGCCGTGCGAAGGCGACGAGCTGTCGCGGCGGCCCGCCTCGGACCATCCGCTCTCGGACGAGGCGGCGGGGCTCACGGAGCGGTAGCGGTCGCCGGCGTGCGAAGAGGCGTCGTCGTCCAGCTCGTCCTCCTCCATGGCGTCCTCCTCGGCCTTGACCGGGGCGGTGCGGAGCGCATCGGCGCGTAGGGTGTCGGCGTGCTCGGGAGCGGCGCGGGTGAGCGCCTCTACGCGGCGGTAAGAGTGGCCGCCGACGTCGACGGGGGCGAGCTGCGGGACGATGGCGTTGCCGCGCGAGACACGGACGCTGTCAAAGGCAGGCTGATGCATCTGGTGCGAGCCGCTCGCGTACGCCGAATCGGGGTAGTGGTGGTGAGCGCGGCTAGGCAGCTGGGCGATGGCGCGCTGAGGGTTGGAGGCGTTGGCGAGCAGCGACTCGTCGAAACCAGGAATGTGGGTGAGGCCGTACTGGGAGAGCGACGAGAGGTCAAAGTCGGCGGCATGGCCCTGGGACGAGAAGGAGGACGAGGCAGAGGAGCCGACGGACGACGACGACGAGAAGCTGTGCGAGTGCGATGCGGGGAGTGCCGAGGCTGCGCTGGCGCCGAGCTGGAGAAGGAAGGCGTTGAGCTGTGCGAGGTCGGTGGAGTCCTGCTTGACGGGAGCACGCGCGTGGACGCCCGACTCCATCTTTGCGCCTCCAGCGTTGTTGGGCGCCTGGTAGGCAGCGGAAGGGTCAAAGGTGGAGAGGATGGCGTTGAGCGAGACATCGTCGATGCCGCCCATGCCGAAGGTCTGGGTGAGCCTGTCTGCCATGTGCGAGTCGTAGGCGGGGGCGAGCTTCTTGCGGCGGAGGTCGCCAAAGAAGTCCTCGACGTGTTCGTGGCCACGTTTGTTGCCGGCGAGGTGGTGGCTGGTGGTGGCGCCGTGGGCGAGGTAGGTGTAGGAGGTGGGGTCGGAGGTGACCTTGTTGCGCGAGTCGAGGCCCTGGGCGAGGTGCATGTAGGAGCCGGCGTCCTGGACGTGGTGGTTGGGGCCGGGGCTGGTGCCTTGAGGGGTGTCGATGCGCGACGACATGGGCGAGAGCGAGGCGCTTGATGTGGAGTGTGCGTAGTGGTCGCGATTGGGGAGCGAGGGGTAGGCGGAGGGGTAGGCAGCGGCGGTGGTGGGGTAGAGGCCGTGCTGGTGGTGCTGCTGCTGCTGAGTGGGGAGGGCGGGGTATCCGAGGTAGGCGTTGGAGGCGTGGACTGGGTATGGGTAGGCGCCAAAGGCGGCGGAGGGGTCTGCCATGGTGTAGGCGCGAGCGGCGGCGTTCTGTGCGGCCTTGTGCTGGCGCTGCTGCTGGTGCTGCTCGGTGTGGATGCGCTCGTGCTTCTTGAGGTCCTGGGGACGCTTGAAGGTCTTGCCGCAGACGTCGCAGTTGTGTGGTTTGAGCGGGGTGTGTACGCGGATGTGCGAAGTAATGTGGTCGCGCTTTGCGCAGCTGACGTCGCAGCCCTCCCACTTGCAGGTGAGGCAGAGGTTGTTTGTGGACTTGCGGCCGACGTGGTCGTCGCAGAGGTGCTTGTAGACGACCTCGGGGTCGTAGAAGATCTTGCCGCAGTCGTCCCATCGGCAGGTGATGGGCTTGGCGGGCGGTTCAAAGTCGCCGTTGTCCGAGGCCGAGGACGACTTGATCTTGTTCGAGGGCGAAGGCGAGGAGGAGGACATGGATGTGGCGGAGGAGTGGTGGGATGGAGCGGGGCTTGCGCCGAGGTGGCTGCTGGATGCAGCGTAACTCGAGTGCTCGCTCACCGAAGCGGGCGAAAGGTGATTGCTCATGGCGGCGTGAGGTATGACTGCGATGTGAGAGGAAGCCGGATCTAGTGCGGGTAGAGTTTGGACGCTGTCGATGGTTGATTGGTGCCGATGTTGTTGTTGCTGATGGTGGGGCCGAAGAAAGATGGTGTGGAGAGGCCAACGAGATGAGGGAGCGAAACCGGGTGGTAGGGATGGCAGTAGCGGGAGGGGTGTCGAGTATATGAAGGCGAGGGGATGAGGGCGTGGATGCCAAGAAACTCAAGACGAGCGGAGGATGCCAAGGCTTGGCAGTCGATCCACGTTTGCGGGCGGTCTTGGCGGCCAGGGTGCAGGAGGAAGCGAGTGATGCGCGGGTGTCCTGTAAGCGCTCCGGATGAATGCTTGTCTGCTTGCTTGCGTTTAGATGGGCGCAAAGGGATGATGGAATGTGAGGAAGAGAGAGGGAAGAGGCAAGTCTTGGCACTTGATGATAGGGTGAGGAGAGTAAGGCTGTGCAGAGGGAGGGGCGAAGGCTGGCGGGGTGGGCGGGGGCATGCAGGCGAGGCAGCCGCGCAAAGCAGCCCAAGCAGGCAAAGCAGCCAAGATTGAAAGGTCTTGGCAACAAGCGCAGAGGCGGCTGATGAAGCGGGCGGTGGTGCCTTTGTTGGCGGCCGCCGCGGAAGCACTGCCAAGAAACTCGACACTTTGGCACGGCGGCCCTCTCTCTCTCTCCCTCTCTTTCGCCTCAGCCGTAATCTTGCAGCTGCAGCGCTGATGAGGTGCCGCTCAAATTCAAACAAGAAAAAAAAGAAAAGGATGAAAGAGCGCTCGAACCGGGTCGTCATCCGCGCAAGTGCCCGTGCCTAAAATTCGAGCCCCACCACGCGCGTGCCAAGAACTTTTAGTCTGGCTGCTCAAGTGCCGCTAGCCTGTTTGCGCTCCAACTCGAGTCCGCTCGTTGAGCCGCAGGTCTTGGCATTCCCAAGTCTTGGCTAGCGGGGGGGCATCCAATGCCAAGACTTTTGGATGATGCCTGCAGCCGTCCGTTCCTCGAGCTTGGGCATCCGGACCATCGATCGGGAGGACCGACGCTCCGTTTCGCACGAAAGGATCCACCACCAGCCTCTGGCCGTGTCCTCAAAACGATTGGACTGTCCCACCGTATCCTTGCTGCAATGCCCCAAGTTAAGCCCTAAGCCCACGTCAGAGCTCAAGGCACGCGTCACCGCCCAGTCGGAGCTCAGTGCACCGGATAACGTGCCGAAGCCGGCATCGCCTGGCGTTGAGTTTTGCGCAGCGCGCCTGGCGCGCACTACAAAAAGCCTGGTTTTGAAATGCCGAGCTTGAATTGCCAAAGACTGGCCAGCTTCGCAGTCGGCCGCCAGCCGCGCTCTGCCGAAACGTGCGTCGATTCGGTCCGTCTGTTGCGCTGCACTCTCGCCTCTGTCCCGCCGGCCAGCCGATGCCAAACTCCGCTCCTCTCGCATTCAGAGCATACCCGCACTCGGAAGTCAACCCGACACCTACTTGAGAAATGGCTTGAGGGATGGCTTGAGGGATGGATGGATGAGCAGGTCATGCGTACGCTGCCAAAAGTGCACCACATGGTCAGAATGATTTGTCAGACGTCGACGTCGCTGCGAGCTACATTCATTTCTCGGCTTGGAGGTCCCACCACAGCGTAACGCTCCCCAGCCATCGCGCTATCTTGCACGTGGGAGCGTCTCGCAAGAAAGGCAAGATGATGACGGCGGTCGTCGCACCTCCGCATCACCGAAGCGCAGCATGACCAGCAGGGTCAGCATGATGAGCACGCATCATTCCTGCCAAGGCCACGAGGTCGTCTCCACACCCTGCCAAGATACGGGGGGCGAGCCAAGCACGCTCAGCTGCTCTTGGCAGTCGCCCAAGCTCCGCATGGCGCAATCCCAGCTGGATCCCATCGCCGATTCAAGCCACGACCAGCTCCAGCCCGATCCGATGAAGCAAAAGTGAGCGTACACAGAGATGAGGATGCATTGGATTGGTCACAAATCAGTGCCAGCACCATCCTGTGGTGCAGAGATGGCGACGAGAAAGTCTCCGGGCGCGTCGAGGTATCGCCAGCTGGGCTTAGCTGAGCGCAATTGGCCAATGGTCGCCTGGATCTCGTTGATCCTCAGCCGACGCACGCGTTCGTTGCTCGCCTCGTGCTCGTCGTTGAGCCGATTCAGACTCGAGTGCACCGCCAGTCCAAACACCACCTTGGCCATCCTTCTGCGCTTCAAGCGTCTCGGCCGCAACTCCGATGCGATCCCCACCGCTCTTGTTCCGCTGCGCTGCTCTGCCGACGCACCGTTCGACGGCGAACCTTGCTGCGCCAGCGTGGCTGCATCGTTGGTATCTACTGGAGTCGCTGCAGCTCTTGAAGGCATCTTGCTCGGACTGGTCTCGGGCGCCGATCGCATGGTCCGATCAAACAGACTGCCGGCTTGAACTGCCTGAGCTTTTGCCAGCAGCGCTTCCTGACTCGTGCCTGTCGCGACCGACGTCTTGGCCAGAGGCGGAGGACGAGCGGCATTCGGTGTAGGCGCCGCACCCAAGCTGGCTGCAAATGCACTCGTCGCGGCGTCGGATGGGCCCGACAGCGCCTGTGCCGATGCCGTCGAGACCGACTGCACCGCCGTGCGAAAGTCGCGCTCGGCAGCCCCGAACTTTTCGGGCGTCAAGCCGCTCGCTCGGATCGCAGACGATCGATCCGGAATGCGCGCCTCCAAACTGTAGCCGTCGCAGCCATGCAGAGCAATAGCAAAAGGCAGATCAGTCCAAAGTGTTCCGGCCGCTAGAAGTGATCGTGCGCAGCTTACCTCTCGGCTGCCAGATAGCAGCACACCGCAACCACACCCGTGCCCGCATTCTTGACCGCCTTGGCGTTGCCTCGGCGCGACCAGATGTCGACCGCAGCAAGGTACGACTCGACTCGGTCGATCAGCGGACCCGTGCGCACGCCGCACAGCGCCTGGATCTGCGCACGTCTCGACGCTGCCATGTCGATTGCCGGGATGCTCGAGTGATTGTGGTCCTTGATGTCAAAGTGTAGAGGAGGCCCGAGCACACTCCAACACCTCTCGATGCATTTGCGCTCGAAAAAGACCGAAATCCGATTTTTTCGCCGGTCCAAGTGAGAGAGGCAGAAGAAGGCGGCCGATGAAGGCTGAAGAAGCCTCGCTGCGCACTCGACCAGTCACACGTCCACACAGCAGCAGCGCGGCTTCGAGTCAGAAATTCTGAACCGACTCGCCCGACCTTCTTTCCCTCTCGCTCCCACCACAATCGCACATTCGCTCACCATGTCTGACCAGGCCACCATTCAGAACGAGCAGCAGCAGCAGCAAGCTCCTGCTGCGGCTGCCCCCGCTGCGGCTACCCCAGCCCCCGCTGCCGACGGCGCCGAGGAGCTCAACCCCGACGGAACGCCTCTCTCGGACAACCAAAAGAAGAAGCGTGCCGCCAAGGCAGAGAAGGAGCGCATCAAGGCCGAAAAGGCCGCCAAGCTCGCTGCCGAAAAGGCCGCACGCGAGGCCGCCGACGTCGACTTTGCCTCGCAAAACTACGGCAAGCTGCCGCTCAACATGTCGCAGGAGCGCAACGGTCGCACCTTCACCAAGATCAGCCAGATCGGCCCCGAGCGCGACGGAGAGCAGATCGTGCTCTCGGCGCGTGTGCAGACCAGCCGTGCGCCCTCGGCCAAGCTCGTCTTCCTCACCTTCCGCCAGGGCGTCGACTGCGTCCAGGCCACGCTCGCGCAGGCGCCCGAGAAGGTGTCGCGCCAGATGACCAAGTGGGCCGCCGGCCTTGCCGCCGAGACCATCGTGCTCGTCGAGGGCACCATCGTCAAGACGCCCAAGCCCGTCGAGTCGGCCACCGTCACCGTCAAGGAGGCCGAGATCAAGATCTCCAAGATCCACTCCACCAGCGAGATCGCCTTTGAGCAGCTCCCCTTCGGCGTCGACGACGCCACGCGCTCCGAGGTCGAGATCCAGGCGTCGCAGCAGACCGAGCGTCCGCTGCCGCCCATCGCGCTCGACACGCGTCTGGACAACCGCGTGCTCGACCTGCGCACCACCACCAACCAGGCCATCTTCCGCCTCACGCACGGCGTGTGCAAGCTCTTCCGCGAGTACCTCGACGGCCTCGACTTTGTCGAGATCCACACGCCCAAGCTGCAGGGCGCCGCCACCGAGAGCGGCTCGTCCGTGTTCAAGGTGAGCTACTTCAAGGGACAGGCGTTCCTCGCCCAGAGTCCGCAGCTCGCCAAGCAGATGGCCATCGCCGCCGACTTTGGGCGCGTCTACGAGATCGGACCCGTGTTCAGGGCCGAGGACTCCAACACGCACCGTCACATGACCGAGTTCACCGGCCTCGATCTCGAGATGGCGTTCGACGAGCACTACCACGAGGTGGTCGACGTGCTGGATGGACTGTTCACGTTCATCTTCCGCGAGCTGCCCAAGCGCTACCGCAAGGAGATTGATGCGGTCAAGCGACAGTACCCGTGCGACGAGTTCCTGCTTCCGGAGAAGACGGTTCGTCTGCAGTACAAGGATGCGATTGCGCTGCTGCGCGAGGCGGGCAAGGAGGTGGGTGATCTGGAGGATCTGTCGACCGAGATGGAGCGTACGCTGGGTGGGCTGGTGCGCGAAAAGTACCAGACCGACTTTTTCATGCTCGACAAGTTCCCGCTCGAGATCCGACCGTTCTACACGATGCCCGATCCGGCGGATGGCAAGTACTCCAACTCGTACGACTTCTTCATGCGAGGGCAGGAGATTTTGTCGGGCGCACAGCGTGTGCACGACGCGGCGTTCTTGGAGAAGAGGATGGCCGAATTCGGTATCCCCGTCGAGTCGATGAAGCACTACGTAGAGGCGTTCAGGTTAGGATGCCCGCCCCACGCAGGTGGTGGTATCGGCCTCGAGCGCGTCGTGATGTTCTACCTTGGTCTGGGCAACATTCGCCGTGCATCCATGTTCCCCCGTGACCCCAAGCGTCTCGACCCCTAGATTCCTTCCAACCCAACCTTGTCCGTCCAGAGCCGCGCGGTTTCAAGTGAATCCATCATTCCATCACAAAAAAAGCCAGAGATGTAAAGCAAAATGTCATGCGAGCGTACAAGTATAGAGAGAGAGAGCGAGAGAGCGAGAGATGCAGAGAGCTTTGAGATGGGGGGGCGGGGGGTTATTTTTCTTCCATGCGGTGACGTTTGCGTTCTCGGTCGTCGTGCTGGGCTGCATTGGGCGGATTGGGGAGTCCTTGCATTGGCATGGCACCGCCCATCTGCATGGGCATGCCCATCATGCCTCCCGGAGCCATTCCGAAAAAGTTGGGGTTGAAGTGGCCTCCTCCACCGCCATTGCCGGCGGATGATGCACCACGACCGCCACGGTTGCCCCAGCCATTGCCTCCGCCTCGTCCACCGCCTCGACCGTAGGAGCGATTCGCACCGGAAGCCATGCCTCCGCCATTGGATCCTGTGCCCGGCCCGCCTGCGCCCATCATACCCATCATCATGGGGTTCATGAGTCCCATGGGCGGTGCTGCATTGCCGCCCATTCGAATCGGCGCACCGGCCATAGGAGGCGGTGGCCCCCTACCGCCCATACCTCCGTCCCTTCCACCGCGTCCTGCGCCCGCGCCCATTCCGCCGCGCTGCGAACGCTCGTTCTTGGGCAGCGGATCCTTGGGCAGCGTGCGGAAGGGGTTGCCATTCGCACTCGTCGTCAGCGTCACGTTGGCGCGGCGGAACTGGAAGTCGTTCTCGTCGAACCATGTCTTGATCTTGCGCGCGTCGGTCTCGCTGTCGGTCTCGATGTACGCGACGCCCTTGCTCTTGCCGTTGACCTTGTGCTCGGAGAACGTAATGTCGTTGAGGCTGAGCGGTACGCCGACGGACGCGGCGATCTGACGGATCTCTTCGTCCGTAGACCACCAGTTGAGATCGCCAATGTACACCGCGTTTTGCACGTTCGGATCCGTCACCTTGGGTCGCCCGGCGAGCGTGGACATGGTGCTGCGTACGGGAGGGGCGGTGGATGACGACGGATGCGGTGGAAGCGACGACGACGCTGCCATGGGCTCATCCTGGTGGCGCTGATACGATGATGTGTACGGCGCAGACGCGCTGCTGGACGACTGCGCCGGCTGTGCTTGCGAAGAAGACGCCGTCGAGGTGGATGGCTTCTCGTCGATCGAGTCGGCTCGTTGACGCTTGCCCGAGCCGGCGGTGGTGGATGCTGAGGCACCGCTCGCATCGGCATTCAGGGAGTCGGAGACGGGCTCCTGCTTGTCGTGCTGCTCATCTTCGGCTTTGCCCAGGACATCCGAGTACAGATCGTCCTAAACATCCAGAATGCCGTGTTCGCCAAGGGGAGAAGACGCGCGATGAGCAACGGGCGCGAGGCTTAAGAGGGAGGACAGCGCAGACTCACACTGTACAGATCGAACTTGTCGTCATCCATATTGCAACTCAGTTGTTTGTGGTGCGGTCGAGATGACAAGCGAGACGGTCTAGCTGGGTCCAAACCCCATGCAGGAGAACAAGGTGGAGCGGTACGGACGAGCGCAGTCGTGATGACGAGATGCGGTTACAGTCAGCGGAACGAGGTCCCTTGAAGTCTGCTTTGACAATGCGCACTACTTACAACAACAGCAATCAACAAAACGACAGCGAAAGAGACAGATGATGGTCGGATGTGAATGCGAAGCGAGGGCGGCTTCTTCGCCTTTGAGGATGCCAGGGTCTGCTGCTCTAAATCACCAGCCGCCGCCGCGGCCGCTCGACGCGACTGGCGGGCGTGGAGAGAGAGAGAGTGCGAATCGGCGCGCCGTGCAACACGATCTCGCGGATCCGAGGGCCGACTGTGCAGAGCCGATCGATTTTCGAGTTTTAGGGCCAAAGACTGCGGCGATCTCACATTTTTTTGAGCGGCGCTTCCATCCCGGCCATTCGGCGAAAGGCCGAGAGGAGGGGAAGGGCGGCTTTCTTGATTGCGCCAGAAGAAAGGGCGGCGCTGGATGCGGTCACGTTGCGCATGCCTGTGTCTGCCTGGCTGCCACTCTGCCTGACTCGAGCGTGCCTCGCCCGCCCGGACCTTCCGAAGAAACACGCGCCAAGCTTGCTTTTGCTGCGCAGACACGGCACAATCCCGAAGCGCCTCACCTCATTTCACTTTGACTTGCCACGCCGAGCGAACCACTATCTATATCTGGAGTGAGCCTCGGCCTCACCGCTTTCTTCTGCTCCATCAACCACATTCTTCGCAAGCCGTCATCCGACACCATGTTTGCCGCCGCCAACCGACAGCCCCTCTACCTCCGCTGCGAGATGAAGCCGGCCGAGCATCGTGCCGCGCTCACGCCCACCACCGCCAAGAAGCTCATCGAGGCCGGCTTCGACATCACCGTCGAGTCGGACCCGCAGCGCATCTTTGACGACAAGGAGTACGCCGACGTCGGCTGCACCATCGCCAAGCACAACACCTTCCACTCGCTCCCCAAGCACATCCCCATCATCGGCCTCAAGGAGCTCGAGGAGCCCGGTCCGGATCTGCCGCACACGCACATCCAGTTTGCGCACTGCTACAAGAAGCAGGCCGGCTGGGTCGACGTGCTCGGCCGCTTCAAGCGCGGCGGCGGAAAGCTCTACGATCTCGAGTTCCTCGAGGACAGCAACGGCCGTCGTGTCGCTGCGTTTGGCTGGCACGCCGGATTCGCCGGTGCGGCGCTCGGCCTGCTGGCGCTCGCCGAGCAGGTGCAGGGTGCCGAGCGCCGTCTGGGCCCGCAGAAGGCGTACCCGAACGAGCAGGCGCTCATCGCTCACGCCAAGCAGCAGATCGAGCACATCCGCAACTCGCGCGCCGACGGCAAGGTCAAGGCGCTCGTCGTGGGTGCGCTCGGCAGGTGCGGTCGGGGCGCCATCGACTTTTTCGAAAAGGCCGGCGTGGCGCCCGAAGACATTGTGCGCTGGGACATGAAGGAGACCTCGGCCAAGCACGGTCCGTACCAGGAGCTGCTCGACGTCGACATCTTTGTCAACTGCATCTACCTCACCTCCAAGATCCCGCCCTTCCTGGACGAGGCGACCATCCAAGCGGCGGGTGCCGAGCGCCGTCTCGGCGTGGTGGTGGACGTGTCGTGCGATACCACCAACCCCAACAACCCGCTGCCCATCTACAGCATCAACACCACCTTTGACAAGCCCACCGTCGACGTCGACACGGGTGCAGGCAACCCGGCGCTCAGCGTCATCTCGATCGACCACCTCCCCACGCTGCTCCCGCGCGAGAGCTCCGAGGGCTTCAGCAACGACCTCCTCCCCAGCCTGCTCCAGCTGCCCCTCGTGCTCGGCAAGGACACCACGCAGCTCGACACGCTCGAAGAGGGCAAGGGCGCCGTGTGGCAGCGCGCCGAAAAGCTCTTCCGACACCACCTCGCAGACGCAGAGAAGAACGGCGCCTGAACCGATCATCCACCCTCCCAAAATTAGGCGTCGGTTGTGGAAATCTCAAAAGAAAGAATCTAGCCATCTTGTTGGCTACGTTGTTGCGGCCAGCGTGCGTCTCTGTCCGAGACCCGAAGTTGAGTCTTGTGCGGCAGAAAATGTTGCGTTGAAGTGCGAGAAGAGGAATAGAGTACAAAGTGAGAAGGAATGCAGGCTGCCAATGGGGCGTAGAGTGATCCAGTTGCCACGGCCGGTGTCGAGGGCACTTCTGACCGGCCGTTCGTGGAGCTGTACGGACGATGTCCGCCTCTGAGATGCACCGCCCCTTTGACTGGGCATGGCGAGGTTGGCGTATAAATCGTTCAAAAAGGCTACTGGACGTTGTTCTTATTGATGCGTTGGTTCGTGTTGTGTCTTGGCTGATCCATCGGTCGACTGTGCGAGGGCGCTCTTCCTGGCACGGTTGAGTTCGTTGTAGCAGTAGGCGCAAATGTGTTGTTGAAGCTTGGGCTTGCCGCATGCACTGCAATGCACCAGATCCACCCTATCCTTCAACCCCTTGTTGGCAGCGCGCATCGACTTTCGCGAGTGCGACACCTTCTTCTTGGGCACAGCGAGCAGGATTCCATTCCACAACCCTGCCAATCCCGACTCTGATGGCTCGGATGCAGCGGCTGGGGTGGACAAACCAGCAAGTGCAGGCGTCAACGACGACGATCCGGTCCACGATGCAAGTGCCGGTAGTTGGAATCGAAATGTAGATGTGCCGAGTCGAACGGCTACCCGTGTCGAAGTCCACATGATTGTAATGATGCCGCAATGGAGATAATGAGCGTCGAGATGATCAAGATGATGGTGTCCAGTTGGAAAGGCAAAAATCTCAAATGTGCCTTCTTAACGTGTCGGCACGCGCTCTTTTTTCTCTCGCACGAAAAACCACATCCCACCATCGCTGAATCGCACAACTCAACAACCACATCCGCTTTGTCCACGACTCCCGGCTCCTTCTGGGCAATGAAGGTCTTTCTATGCTAGTGTGTGATGACGGCTAATCGTTTTTGTCTGCCTTCTTACCGGGCACGAGCGTTTCTTCCGAGTTGTTGCTGCCACCCATGAGTCCCTGTCTCTCGCCGTGCGATGCTGCGCGCGCGTCACTCCTACCGCCCTCCCTGCTGCGATCGGCATCGTCATCCTCGTCGCCGATCTCGAAGACGACATCGTTCTGCACGCCGCGCGCACCCGCACCACCCTTGGATGCGCCACGCGCCTCGACATCGTCCTCGTCCTCGCTATCCGGACCATCGGGACCGCGCGCAAACGTGTCCACCTCGTACCCCTCGGCGGTAGGATCGTCGTCGGTCGCAAGCTCGTCCGACATGGCCAGCCGCATGTTGTGCCCCGTCGGACGCCATACCCACGCAATCGCCGCAAACACGCCAAAGTACAGCAGCCCCAACCAGCCATCCAGCAAGAACCACCGGTACCGCCACGTGTTGGGTGCGAATCCCTCGCCGCCCGACTGCGAGAAGGCCAGCGAGGAGATGATGAAAAACGCAAAGATGACCACCACGGCACCAAGCAGGATGCGATGGAGTTTGACGAACATGGAGCGCTTGAACGACTGCTTGCGCTGGGTGAGGTATTCGATGCTGCGGTTGAGCGAATTCATGATCCAGGTGAGGAAGGCGGTGAGCGTCATGGCGAGCGGGAAGATGAAGGCAAAGATCCAGGCGCCTCCCTGGTCGAGCTGAATCAGCACGATGCCGACCGAGTAGAGCACGCCAAAGACAAAATGGGCGGCGGTGAGCCAGCGCACCCTCGTCATGACCGGGCCGATGGATGGACGGATGACTCCGTAGCCCATGGCGACGATAAGCAGCAGGAAGAACGACACCGAGTTGCGGCCGGCATCGAGGATGCTAGTCAGCACGAGCAGGAAGCGCGCCAGCGCCGTGACGGCCGTGTTGCCGTTGACCTCGCGGATGCGGAAGAAGTCGACGAGATGCGCGTTGAGGTAGTAGTAGTACGCCCACTGCGCCGCCATCTCGACCACCAGAAAGGCGATCGTACCCGAGATGAAGTGCTGCACCATCAGCAGCTGGTCGCGGTGGCGCATGCACAGCGACAGCCAGTACACGCCCAGCACCACGTACGCCAGCGTCATGCCAAAGTAGAACATCAGCTTCGGATGCTCGGCCGCGGGAAGGTTGCCTTTGAACTTGTTGAAGAACTCGACGCGGCCCGTGAACGCCGCATGCACCGCCACGTCGCCGCCGCCACCCTTGACTGCATCCTCGAGCGATACGAGCGGCACTTCGGCTGCGCGAAAACAGGCAAAGGTAAAAGGCAACAGTGGTCAGTATTCAGGCCCGACGCGAGGCTCTGGTGGATGACGGGGGGCAGCTCACTCGCACCGAAGCAGTAGTATCCGGTTTTGGTCACGTTGTATCGCTATTTGCCAGAAGCACAAGAGTCAGTGTCGTTCCCACACACTTGTCGAAGTGGGCATAGGTACATACGAGCGTCGTCTCATCGCTTGATCCCGTAGCGGGAAAGTCGAGCCTCTTGAGCTGAACCGTGGTGGCCTTTCCGCCGGTCTCGTCGACGATAAAGTTGCCGAGCTGCTCCTGGGTGCAGAGCGACTGCTGTATGGCGCCCGGCGTGCAGATGTAGGTCCTGAGCGCGAACCCGAAAGCATCGCGCTCGTTCGACTGCCTGCCGAGCTTGTCAAAGTCGGCAAACTCGTAGAACATGGTGGCGACGGTGCCGGTGGAGTTGTTGTGGAAGATGGCCTCGATGTGGCTGTCGCCGCCGGCGATCATGCCGGAGCAGGTCTGGCGCAGCTCATCCTTTTCCGAGATGGTGACGGTGAATGCCGACGCTGGACGAACGAGGGAGAGCACCAGCAGCACGACGAGCGCATACAGCGAGCTGCGTATTGTGCTGCGGTGATGGCCTATTGACGCCATTTCGACACCAAGGACGTGGTGTGGTTGATCGGCGAGAGCGAGTGTTGGAAGAAGGGACGGAAGGCAGAGCAGCGTCGAGGGAGCCAAGTGTTTGTTGATGCACGGACTTCGTCTTGCATTTCGCTGTTGCTTTGCTGTGCCGTGCTGTGCCGGGCGATTTTTCGAATTGTTAGGTTGCTGAGCGGCGGTGCTGCAGTGCAAGTCAGGGTCCAAGCCGAGTCGCTTTGACGCCGCTTCACTTCGAACAGCCACCCATCGATACTCGGCAGATCCTCATCAAACGTAGATTGCCCAGTCGTCAAACGTACGCAAGCATGGAGGTGGTCAGGTCGCTCGTCTCGGACACGCCCGGTGTGTGGCGCGAGCTGACGACGCTCAAGCAGGCGTTTGTGGTGCTCAAGTTCGTCACCGACCTGACCTACTGCACCATACCGCCGCTGACGTTTGCCAAGTCGCACATGAGCATCCGCACGCTCGTCTACGTGCCCCTGCTCGCCGTCTGCTACGTTGTGCCGGACGTGGCGATCTTCTTCGCGCTGCCCAAGTCGGCGGATTCGACGCAGACGCTCATCGGCGTCCTGCTCATCGTGTACAGCCTGCTCTTCTTCTGGTGGGCTCGCTTCCACATGCTGAGCAAGTCGGCCCTCACAGCATGCTTCAGCGCCGATGAGCCTACGTTCCTCATCACCACGGGCCCTTGGGCGTTCGTGAGGAATCCGTTCTACTCGGCATACCTCGCCACCATGCTCGCCGGCTTCATCGTCACGAGCTCCTCCAACCACCCGGACCACGACCATCCCTACCTCGTCTCGCACGCTGGTGGCATTGCCATGTCCGCCTTCCTTGTGTCCTTCGCCATCTACTACCACGCCATCCGCGACGAAGAGGCCAAGTTCAGCGCGAGCAAGCTGCGCACCCAGCACGAGGCGTACAAGCGACGCGTGTGGTGCCTGCTGCCGCTCACCGATGTCATGCGGCGATGAGCTCGCGCTCGCGTTGTACCGCTTTCATCTTGATGATCTGTAGAACGGAAACTACTGCCCATTGCAATGCTAAAGCTAGAGGCGTATGGACATGTGCGTGATGTGAAGCATGGCTCTGTAATTTAGTGAGAGGAAGCAAGCTCGATCGGGCGATCGGGTGAGGGGACATCGGCGATGCAACAGCAGAAAAAGTGGGAAAAAAAGAGAGGATGGAAGATCGGCGGAGGTGTGTGCGGGTGTGATGAGCCAAATGAGCTGTCGCGAGGCTGCTCCTTTGGCCGAACAGGGTGACAGAGTGGAGCGCAACCACCGGGGAGCATTTGCTCTTTTTTCTCCTCTCGTCACCAAAGCGAGCCCGAAAGCAAAGCAGCAGAAGCTCGAGCAGCCAAACCAACACCAAAGAGAAGCAAGCCGACATCCGATCTCGGATCAACGAGCAAGCAGCAGCCAGCAACGCAGCAGCAGCACCAGCAGCAGCACCAGCAGCAGCACGTCGACCCGACGCATCCACGCCCGCATCCTCGACACCACCGCGCCATCCCTGCGCGCAAGGAGGCGCCCATCGCCCACGGAGAGCGCGTGCACGTCGCGACGGCCTTCCTGCTCCTCATTACGATAAAGTCGGCCGCCTGGTGCGCAGCGAGAGCTCACCTGGACGCCGCATCCCACGCGGGCACGGAGCAGCGCCAAGGTCGTCTTTGCCGTCCTTGCGTCGTCCTGGCTTCGCTTTCGCTCGACATAGCTGCCTAGGCATGCAAGCCTCCGCATCGGTCTCCACTCCGACCTCCCAGCCAAACATCGCTGGCACCGCCGCATCCACCTCCGCCCATGCTCCGCTGACCATCGATCCAACCGCGCTGCTGCTTCCGGGTCCAGCTGGTGCCCACCAAGCGTCCACATCGACATCACCGCTGCCACCCACACCACTGCACGCCGGCAACAATGCCGCCCTCGCTACTGTCGCCGTCAAGCAGGAGCCCGAGGATGACTCTGCCGCCGTCGCAGCGCACCCTTTGGCCATCCCGGGCGCATCCACGACCAAGCAAGAAGAGCTGCACCACGCCAAACCTGTTTCATTCGTCGACGAGCTCCTTCAGCACGACCACAGAGCCATCCTCCGCCCCGACCTCTCGCCATTCGCAGACGCTCGCGACGCTGTCCGTCGCCTTTTGCCGTATCATGTCTGGAACATTCCGCACCACGACCTCCTCCACTCGCTCGGCTTGAAACACGACCCCGTCCACGCCGAAGTCAGGCTTCGCAAACGCAGGCGCATCGCTCATCGTACTCAAACCTCACCAAAGAGCGAGCAGACCGACAACGACCTGCCGCAGTCCACTCTCAAAGCACCGGGCGACCCGGACAGCGATGACGATCTCAACGAGCTCGGCCTGCCCACGCCATTGCCCACCGTACCGCTTCCGACCTTCCCGTCCCTTGACTATGCCGAGTCGGTCTTGGCGCGGCGCGACAAGCTCGCCTCGCGCTTCCGCCGCACACTCACCGCGCTCGACAGCACACACCGACGCGCGCCCAACACGGGCATCATGCTCGAGCAGCTCGAACGACTCGCCTATCTCGACGACCGCGAGCAGGTGCTCGCACAGATCGACGAGCTCAAGGCGCTCAAAGCCAAGCTCGAGGCGTTGGAAGAAACCAAGGACATCGACGTCGCCAGCTCGTCCGCCACAATCAAGCTCAGCTTCGCCATCACCGACGAGATCGAGCGCGAGCGCGAAAAGGAGCGCGAGCTCGAGAGGATCAAGCGTCAGCAGGAGAGGGCCGCGGCAAAGGCGGCAAAGCTCGAAAAGGAAAGAGAGGCGCGCCACCGCATTGGCATCTTTACGCCCCCACCAGAACCACCAAAGCCGCCAGCATCGAGTGCGACAGGGCCATCTGCTGCGGGCGCATCAGCTTCGACGCCAGATCTTCCGCTTGCGACACCGGCGAGTGGCGTGCCGCCCATCGATACCGGCATCGCTTCGTCTATTGCCACGCCCTCGTCGCTTCCGACGCCCGGGCCGTATTCTGCGGTCGGCACACCAATAGGCACTCCGGGCTTCCCCTTTCCCCCCGGCGCCTCCTTGCCCCACGGCCTGCCACTGCCCATGTCTCCAGCAGGCGCCAATGGTCTCGTCATGCCCTCGCCGCAGCTCAACTCCACGCCCGCATCTCCGTTCGCAACGGCACCTGGTCCGCCCGTCATTGCACCTCGACCCAATGGTGTGCCGACACCCAGTGTTGCAGCAACTCCAGCCTCCGGGCCCGTACCGTCCGCTTCCGCCCCCGCTACTGCGTCAGCCACGCCCTCGACCCCGGTGGGACCAGGACGGCCGCCCAAGGCCAAGGCGAAAGCCAAAGCGGCAGCTGCGACACCCGCCGCCAAAGCCCCAGGCACACCTGCTACACCAGGCACACCTACAACGCCCGGTGCTACGCCGGGACCTACGCCGCATCGTGGTCGAGGTCGGCCACGCAAGCATCCGCTGCCTGGCACGCCCGGCGGACCGCCCATCGGCTCGAGCGTCCCGCGCAAGAAGAAAGAGAAGCCTGCCAAGCCGGCTGCCACACCGTCGGCTCCGACTACCCCTGGAACGGCCCCAGCAGCGTCAACGGCCATGTCTCCGCCTGCCATGACGGCTGGGCCGGGCGTCAACATGCAAGTGCGACCACCACAGGGATCACCAGTGCCGCCGACGATGCCTGGTCCCGCACCCGGGTATGCGGGCGATGCATTTGCATCGACGCTGCCGCCAGCGCCCGGATCTACGGGCGTGCGACCGTCGACCATGCATCCGACGCTGATGAGCGCTACGAGCCTCAACACGCCGCGCGTACCGCCGTCGCCCTCGGCCACGACGGTCAAGCCGCCGAGCCCTGCACCCACCAAGACTCCACCGGCCAAGGCGAATGGCACGCCACCGGCAGTGCGACCGCCCCCGCCGACGGCTGCGGCTTCTGCAGCGGCAGCTCCAGCCAATGCATCGATTCCGAATCATCCGATCCCATTGCTCATCCCCGTGGCGTCGCTTCCGCGACTATCGGCGCTGGGTATTCAGCCTTCGCCGAGCCCGCACATTCGACCGGTGATCGGGCCGAATGGACAGCCACAGGGGCTGCAGGGGCTGCCTGTGCCCATCGACCCCGCACAGAGCGTACCGGCCGTGCTGCTGGGGATCAGCGAAAGCGCGGCCGAGGGTGGTGCAGACGGTGCGGGCGCGGGCAAGCAGCAGATCTTGCATATTTCGGTGGTGCTCAGCAAGCTCAGCCCATCCCAACTCAGCGGACTCGCTGTGCTCATGCAGAGCCTCCAGGCGCAGGTAGAGGCGGGAAAACGAAAGTAGCGCCACGTGATCAAGCTGACAAGTGCTGCAATCTCCATCGTCTTGGGGCTTGGTATAACACGATGCAGCAAGGCGTCGACGTGCAGCACGAATCTGTGCCAGTTTGGGCAGTGCAAGATCGCGGCCAAAGGCGATTGCTCCAGCACTGGCACATCGGCGTGCCAGCTGCTGACGACGTGCTCTGCGTCCAAAAAGTGCCTTGTGCCCAACAGACTTCCAGCTCTCAACAACGATGCCAGCACCTGTGCTTCCGGCTACTGTCGAAGCCCCGGTTGGCCGTTTGCCTCCCTCTGCCTGTGCTCCGATGCGCCGCTGGGCACATCGTGCGGCTCAACCACCGTCACGTGTGCCAAGGATCTCTCTTGCGATTCGGACTCCAAGACCTGCCTCAAGCCCATTGGAGGATCTTGTTCGAAGACCACCGACTGTGCGTCGAAGAACTGCGTGGACGGTAAATGCGCGGTCAAGAATCTCAACTTTGGAGACGCTTGCGGTGCTGGTGTGGCAGGTTCCTGCCTCGCCACCATGACTTGCTCCGGCTCGGCAGGCGGATCCACATGCCTCAGGATTAACGATCAGAGCTGTGCGCATGATGAAGAGTGTGACAGCGCACTCTGCAGCAAAGGAAAGTGCACTGGTAAGTCTTCTCCATACGGCCGCTGGTCCGTTGTGTCGCAGAGCCAGCCCCTCCCAAGCTAATTGCCTTATCCTCTCCATTCAGCAACCGGCCAGGGGTTGGTTCAGCTCGGAGAGCATTGCCACAGTGCACCCGACTGCAATGCTGCCGACTGTCTCGGCGGTCGATGCTTGACCACCGTCGGCCTTCGACAACCGTGTGGCACGGATCAGTTCGCAGTGTGCTACGGTCCATTGACGTGCACCAGTCAAAGCACTGGCCCCAACGTCTGCCTCACCAGCAACAACCAGCAGTGCAGCAACGACGACTCGGTCTGCTCTTCGGGTCTTTGCGTCGACGCCGCATGCAAAGGTAAGTCCTGAGCATCGCAGTCTTGACAAGACATTTGGCTGACTCGCGTTGGTAACATCATTGCAGCGCGCGGTTCGAAATCGCTCGTCCTAGGACAGCACTGTCTGGACAACACTGATTGCGCCGACACTCTCGTGTGCACGCAATCCACATGCAGCTGTACGTTTCTCCTCACCTATACTGGGTCGACAGCTCTCTCTTCATTGGATTGGAATTGACTTACTGAAACAACCCCCCCCCCCCCCCCCCCCC